AGTACGCGCTCGACCTGTTGGACAAACTCCTAATACTAGACCCAACGAAACGGCTCGACTCGGACTCAGCGCTGAATCACGACTTCTTCTGGTCAGACCCGATGCCTCTGGACTTGTCTAAAATGCTGTCACAACACACGCAGAGTATGTTCGAGTACTTGACGCCCGCCCGCAGGCGAGTGGTCGGTCCGCCGCAGCCCCAGCTCCCCGTTGGCGGTCCCGGAGGGCATGGGGTTGTCCCACACGGCGCGCACCCCCAACAACACCCGCGCAGTGCGGCCGACGCCCAGTACGTCGATCGCGTGTTTTAGTGCACCGGGTGTTTGGGGTCTTTATTTAGGGCTTATTATTGGATTGTATTTATGATTTATAATTACTGTTTAATCATTTAATTAAATTATAAATTCTGTGTTTAATTGTAAATATAATTTCAATACTTGGCTGTAATTCGCAATGCATTTAATGATTATTTTTGCATTATTAAATCATTGGAAGTGTTAGCATCGATGTTGTGAACAGTAGCCAAACCAAAATCACACAGTTTTACGATACGATTAGACATAATAACCACTGCATTGATAAAATGGCCTTTTATATAAACCGTAATTTATTGATCAAATTTAGCCGCAATTTTTTAATTGTTGGTTTGAAGTGAAACAGTGTTTAACGACCTACAAATCAATGCCATTTATTTGTCTGTATCTCATTTGCTTCCGGAGTAATCCTCTTCAGAAGAGTACGAGTCCCGAAATAGTTCTGGCACAATGACCATGCCACTTTTAGAATTCGAGATAATAAGATGAGCCAAAGCTATTTGTTACAAAGATTGGATGAAGAAAATAACAATTTGGTAAAAATTTTAACGTATGATCCGGCCAATTAAATTATTTGGCCACTTTTAGTTGTCAAAAATATTAATTCCCATTGGATAGCATTGCCAAAGTTATTACGGAGGTCGGCCTCTTTGGGAGAGGATTACTCCCGAAGCATATGAGGTGCAGACAAATCAATGGCATTGATTTGTAGGTCAATAAACACTGTTTCACTTCAAACCAACAATTAAAAAATTTCGGCTAAATTTGATCAATAAATTACGATTTATATAAAAGGCCATTTTATAAATTCAGTGGTTATTGGCTGAAATTAATATACAGTCCGGCCCCGAATTTGGCATGTCATTGGTGCTGTCAAAAAGATGTGCCATTTAACCTAAGACGATTTTAGCCCAAGTAATTGTCACGATTATACTGAGTGACCACGATTGTTTTGGAATTGCTAAAATCGAATTCTGCTAAAATCGCGTGTGCCAAAACCGGGGCCGTACTGTATTTTCGGGTTTGAGATCCCTATGAATGACAGGGGGTTTGGATTCGTGGAGATATTGAACACTTCTTAAGATCTCTTTAAATATTTCACATAAATTTCAAAGACACTATTCATGTGGTCTTCCGGTTGTCTCCCGACAATATAGCGCATAGCGTTGCCAAAAATACAGGAATTTTTACAGAATACAGGAATAAATATTTTGAAAATAAACTGTTATATAGCAAAATATATGAATTTTTGGCAATTTTTTCACATTTATACAAGATTTTCAAAATATTATTTGGCAACGCTAATAGCACCACAAGGCCCGAGTGTTATTGATAATTGCTATTAATAAAACTTGATCAGATATATGATATTAAGCAACTAATTAAACAAATACATTCCCTGTTAATTAGATAAACAGATCATATCCAACCCCTCCTCCCATCCGTCAAAACACAAAACAATTAGTAATTGTCAATTACTGTTTCGCAAACTGTTTAATGATTTCAAACAAATTTATTGTCAATAAATGGCGAAAAAAACTAATAATAGGATGTGTTGGGCACCACCTGTGCTAATATGCCCGGCGTTCGGGGGAGGGGTGCCTATTGGCCAACCAACCGCAATATTGCGCCCAACACACAGTCAGCCACTGCGTGTGTCATAGCCCGCAACTGACTCAACAGGTCGTCGGCCCACTGGCCCAAAGTGTCGCGGAGCAATAGGTCCGGGTATATGTGGTAATAAGGGGGTTCGGGTGGCCTCACCCACACCACTGTCGGCTGGCCGTCCACCAGGATGTGCTGGGGTTCGCCGATGGGGTCCACGTCCTCCAACAAGTAGTGGAGATCGGAGTGGGAGCCCATGAGTTCGGCCAAATTGGCCCGGATATGGGCGATGATGTGGCTCAAGGTGTTTAAGCGCTGCTCGATGTCCATTGGTTTTGGTGTTGGTGTAGAGCTGGTAGGTATGGGTGCGCTGGTAGTGGGCGTTGGAGTTTGGGTTTAGGTTTGAATTGTTTTGACCTAAATTTTTGTTTTATTTTAATTGTTTGTGTTTTTAGTTTAATTTTTTAAATGAAATAAGTTTATTGTTACAATTATTGTTATCGTTATTATATTGTTGTGTGGTGAGCCCTTACCCGTGGCTACACTCCACAAACTATGTCATGAGTCTTACCGGGCCTCTCAGCTCACAACTGCTCACTTCGATCTCATTTGTTGTAATTGTTAGTCAAATATATTAGTATATGTTATGGGCGATTGCCCGAATCGTTTTATTTATTAGTTAACATATGAATTATCAGAAACAGTACAGACGTAAGTGGAGTAATGTATTTCTATGAGAGACCCAAAGTTCTTATAACTCAAAAATTACTTGTTCAATTTTGACAAACTATACATCAAATTGTTCAGAATATATCATAATGACCAGGATGATCATAATGACCAGGATGATCATAATGACCAGGATGATCATAATGACCAGGATGATCATGATGACTAGAATGATCAGGACGATAAAGATGATCATAACCCTGTACCATGATCAATTCGTCGGGCACCAATGCTAGAACCACCATCAAGCCCAGCGCCACTGCCATCATGGTCATTTTCATTGTTCAATTTGGTTGTGTTCGCACTTTTACTATTTACTGTAGTGCTTTAAAAAGTACTACACATATGGTATCAGTTAATTAGTTTTTGCCACTTTGGTTTGGCCACCGATCATGAAGTCGATGGCAACAGTTCCAGCCGTTACGAGCACTCGGCCTGCGGTACGCGTCGTTATATCGCACCCGAAGTATATGGCGGTCGGTAAAACCATAAGGCGGACATTTATAGTCTCGCTGTAATCGCTGGCGAACTCTTTGCTGTTGATATTCGGTAGTAATTGTTTGAAAATATTTTAAAATTTCAAAATTTTTAATAAATACTACTAAATAATAATACTGACAATTGTGAGATAATAATTGAGGGCCTGAAACATACTTTTGTCTAATACTGTTTGAATTCTGAATTTTTCTATAATACCTATCGTGAATTACTTTCAAAACGGTTTTATTTGTGCTTTAATACCGAATAAATAATATACATATTAATATTTGTGTTTTTTATATGTAATTACAAGGTATGCATGGACAGCAGTTGAGTGAGTGAATGTGTGTAAATATAGAAATTCGTTTCCAATTTTATGGTTAAATGTTATTAAAAATAATAAATATTAAATGCAATTCAAATGACATACAAGTATTGATATTAATGTTATATTTATCATTGACTACAACATTTATCATTTAATTAAATGTAGTTTTAAATATACAAATGTAAATGTAATACAAAAATAAAACTACAATATAAACATAATTTAAATGATAGGACCAGGACTTGGTTCTGATAGGACGTGGTCTGTGCGCAAACGTACTGCGCTTGTGTTGGGACAACATATGAGACATGTCTTGAGGCACGGGGTGTAACCACAAAAATTGGTGGTCAATTGCTAAGTATGAGTCCAATCGTTTCTGTGGATCAAGTATTAGGAGTTTGTCCAACAGGTCCAGAGCGAGCGGACACTATGTGGGTCTCAGGCGCTCCTTAACCTTCCGCCTCTGATTCTTCGCCAAAACCATTTTGTTGTACAGATCCAGGCGTTGGACACCCGGCCACACATCTGGTGTGATTGAACCGCACAGTTGACTGATTAGGTTGAGTTGCATCTGATCTGTGATGCCGGCTATTATTGGGTTCCGGGTCCACATCTATAAGTGTGAGTCCCATGAAACACAATATTAAAAACAATATTAAAACCCTAGTCTACAGATATCCCTTCCCAATGGGCCAATCGAGCATTGGATCAGGTGTTTAGTGTACGCACATACCTCAGCCATTATACAACCGGCGCCCCACAGGTCAACGGGTGAGCCGTAATTACATTCGCCGAGCAATAGCTCCGGCGGCCGACACCACAGAGTGACCACTTTATGGGTGTAGCGTTTGGTTGTATTACCGGAGCTGATGGCGCGGGCGAGTCCAAAGTCGGCCAGTTTTAAGACCCCGTTTTTGGTGATCAAAATGTTGGCCGCTTTCATGTCTCGATGCAATATCTTCTGCGAGTGTATGAAAAACAAGGCGTTCAACAGCTGTTGCATCACTTTCTTGATCTCTCCCATCGAGAACTTGACGTTAACGTTGGACAGGAGTCCGGCCAAGTCGTGCTCACAGAACTCGAACACCAAATAGAAAGTGGCCTTATATTTGGGCGGACCGGCGGTGGCGGCGGCCGACCCGCCGGCCGCTGACGTACCGCTCGATGTCTGGTCACTGCGCGACTGAGTGCGACAAATCTCATAGAGTGGTACGACGTTGTCGTGCTTCAGGAGCTGCAAGATCTTGATCTCGCGCAGGGCTGTGATGGGGAAACCCTCCTTCTCGTTCTCCATCAACACCTTCTTCAGGGCCACTATTTTGCGGGTTTGCCTGTGCTTTGCTTTGAACACTTCGCCAAACGTACCTGGTTGATAATGATAGTGATTAAGATTAATCATAGTGGTTTTGGATTATGATAATAACACAATGGGGGAGTACAGGGGGGAGTGGGTGTGTGTATGGCAATGAATTGGTTAGTGAGTGGTCACTAACGCCGTCGGCTGTGCCGTTGGCTATTGACCACCGATGTTATGTCTGTCTATGGCATCACTCGCTGGTCACCGACACACACAGTAGGGTATATGACAATTGGTGGCGTATCTACTATATCGGGTGCTCCAGACATTTCTGTTAGCAGGTACTAATGGGGCACAGGGAGGGCTAGGAGGGCAAGGGGTGTGTAGTGCTAGTAGACATGTACCCTGTCCAATTTTGGTGAGTTTCTCGTATTTGGACACATCGTCGCAAAACGGGTAATCAAAGTCGTCGATAGCGTCGGCCGAGTTCTTGTAGTGCTGTTGAGGATGTGATTTGTGGTGATTATGATTGGCTGATGAGGAGGAAGTGGTGGCGGCGGACGCGCTGCCACTGCCGCTGGATGTCTGGCCACCGCCGGTACCGCCGCTCGCCGTATGACTGCCACCAGTGTTGCCGCCGCCGACACCGCCGGACACGTGTCCGCCACTCATGTGATCGGACATCACGTGACTCTTGTTATTATGTGTTGTTATTAATTGTGTTATTAATTAATGGTTTGATTTAATGAATCAATTTATTTGTGATTTTAATTGTGTTTTGTTTTGAGTTTTCAAAACGCTTTTATTACACACATGTATGACAGCTGTTCGTAAACAACGTTACGCTTTATCAAAGGGGTTTTGTATGGCTTTTGAGTTACAGTATACTTTATTTTAGCTAGTTTAATATTTTTAACAAGGTTAACGCAGTAGATATTAATTACCACGCTTATTATTTTAGTAGATATTAAATTAAAACTGTTTTATCTTGGTATTTGTAATAACTTACAATTAATTTTGGTGTTTACTTAATTGTGTTTTATTACATTAGGGTTCTATTCATACGTCAATAATCATTTGTCACAGTATTTATGTATAGTTTTACGTATAGATGTCGTGTTTGGCGTCTCTCACATGACGTCTCGTTGAATACAATGCAAATGCAGTACAACTCAAACACGATTAACGTTACGCATAAATAACCCACATTTGCATTCCCTTAACGTTCAAACACATACAACATTCACTGTAATTGCGTAACGTTTGTTAAGTGTGAGTATAGGTTTGTATAAGCCTTGTAAACATACACAACGAATGTTCATATAAAACGTTACGAATATGTTTGGCCCCCTAAACAGTAAATAAGTGCATATAAAGTGCTACCCATAATGTAATTAATGCTATGTTAACCTTCATCGCTCTTTCACCCCCTCTCTCATAATATCGCGCCGTTATTTACGTACAAAAATTACCATAATGTCTGATATTATCACAAAATTGATACGACGAGTGGAAATACTGTTGTGTTTTAAGTGACAAAACATACGACAGATATATTCAAGTAATCAATTGAAACAATTTTATAAACAGTTTATTATTAAATATTTATATTTATTAATTGATTGTCACACAAAACAAATAGTGACTCATAGTTTGATTTGTATAGTTAATTGTGTGGTTGTTTCATAAAATAAAACAGTTGTAATAAAATTAGTGTAAAATTTGACGACCAGTCATGTCATACGCCTATTTGTTTAAGTATATCATTATTGGCGATACAGGTATAGTCATTAAAAATCATTTCAATTGACCATGCTCATTTTTAGTATACTGTAACTTACCCCATGATAGGATTACCATGATAATTATAAAAATTATGGTAACCCTATGTAAATATGTTATGACCAGACTTATTGACATTGACTCACAACATACTGCATATACTAATCATGTGTTTATACATATTTGATACCCTAATTACCCGATGGTATACCCCCGGCAGGTGTGGGCAAGTCGTGCCTACTGTTGCAGTTCACGGACAAGCGGTTCCAACCGGTGCACGACCTGACCATTGGGGTGGAGTTCGGCGCCCGTATGATCACAATCGACGGCAAACAGATTAAGCTCCAGATATGGGACACCGCGGGTCAGGAGGCGTTCCGTTCGATCACCCGTTCGTACTATAATTTTTACATTATCTAAAATTTAATTAATTAATTTAATGTAAATTATTATACCATTTGTAAACATTAGATGTAAATTAAAATTTTAGCAAAATTTATTAAAACTTTTTAATTAAATTTATCATATTCAAATACTACCAATAATTATGATCATGATTATTACCATGGTAAATTAATTGAAAAGGTCTGGCGAAGTGTTCAAAGCAAAGCACAGGCAAACCCGCAAAATAGTGGCCCTCAAGAAGGTGTTGATGGAGAACGAGAAGGAGGGTTTCCCCATCACAGCCCTGCGCGAGATCAAGATCTTACAGCTC